ATATATATATATATATATATATATTTAGGACAAGGTCCACAGGGTCTATGGGATCTCACCACACAGATTGAACTCGTAGTGATTCTCCTGTGTTCAGCCTCCCAAGCACTGGGATTAAACCACACCCAATCTCAATCGCCATCTCAATGCACTCCCGGGGGTGGGGTTGGCACAGCATGCTGAGGATGGAACGCCGGCCGCTGTGCTCTGCCTAAGCAGGCACTTTAGTCCACTGAGCTATATGGCTGGCCCTAAATTAGTATATAGTTGTGATACATTATAAGTACACCCATCTTGGGCAGTTGGCACATATATAAATTGCATCTTGAGTTTTAGTACCCTCCCCCACCGTCTGCCCTCCCTCCTTCCCCTTCTCCATCCCCCTCTAACCTCCAGAGTCCACCTCCCTGTTATCTATCATCTCTTTTCTTTTGCTCTGTAAATTATCACTGGGCCAGGGAAATGGCTCAGTACAGTAAGGGCTTCCCTGGCAAGTGCAAGGGCCTGAGTTCAATCCCCGGTTCCACCAAAAAAAAAAATAAAACAAAAGAAATTATATTTTGGGTTTCTCATATTAGAGAAAGTATGTGAAGTTTAACCTTTTGTGTCTGGGTTATTTCACTTAGCACTGTGATCTCAAGAAAAATCCATTTTCCTACAAATGACTCAAATTTATCCTTTTTTTTTTTTAAATCCGGGATCAAACTGAGGACCTTACACTTGCCAGGCAGGAGCCTATGCCATTAAGTTATCTCCCCGGCCCAAATTTATCATTCTTCATGGTTGAGTAATACTCTATTACCCAGATACGCATTCTACTACTGCAAAAGGATCGAGTTGAAGGCCAGCCTGGGTATATGTTAAGAGCCTGTCAAGGGGATGGGGGGACGGCTCAGTAGAATAAGCACTCGCCTGGCAAGTGCAAGGGCCGGAGTTCAATCCCCGTCTGCCAAAAAAAACAAAAACAAAAAAAAAAAAAAACCTTGGTTTTCTTGCATCCTTCCTGGTGACAATGTACAATTAAAAAAAAAAAAATCATTTTGAACTCACACACAAAATGATTTCATTGTGCTTGAATCTATGATGTTATTCTTATCATTGCTCAGGTTAGCTCAGCTTTGGCCAGTGGGGCCTCTCCACAGGGCAGTTTCGGGATCCTCTTGACAGGTGGGCTGCGTGGGCACGCGGGGCCCCACTCTGGTGTAACAGGTCCTTGGTTTCTTGCGGACATCTCCCTAGGAACTGAAGCAAGCTCTTCCCACAGCGCACAGACCTTGTCTGTGGAAAGTGTTAGCAGAGGCCACATCTAGGAAGCAGAGAGCACAACGGCTGGGAAGCCAGGGCTTCCGGGGCAGGGGCTGCTTGGAAGCTGACCCTGAACAACCGCATGAGCTTCTACGCGACCATCTCGCAGCTCCAGCTGTCTGCTCCTCTGGCACTGAGCAAAATTCCTAGCCAGGCTGGAGGGAGCTTGCTGCTCCTGTAAGCCTCAGTGCCATTGCTGGTGAGAAGGGGGAGCGTCCCTGACCGGCCTGTGCGGAGGATGCACCTACCAGGCTACTTTTTCTCAATATATATATATATATATATATGTTTGAACTCAGAGCTTTCTCACTGAGCTATATCCCCAGCCCTTTTTATTTATTTAGTTTTTACTTTTGAGAGAATCTCACTAAGTCAGAGTTGCCCAGGCTGGGCTGGACCTTGTGACATCCTGCCTCAGCCTCCCAGAATGTTGCGATTGTGGGCACGCACTGTCACACGTCGTCTTTTAGAGCCAGCAGTTGAGATCCTAATCAATGTCCACAAAGGAAGAGGGCAATGATCTCATGACTTGAGATCACTGAGTCAGTGTTTTGCTTCCTTTAGTTTTTATCTTTCTATTGAAACCCAGGAAGGATTTGGAAAAGCTGTTCATGAAATTACATTTAAATTAGCCCCACCCCCAGGGGCGCTGAGCCAGTGACCGAGTCCAGGCGTAGTGGCACATACCTGTAATCTCAGCTGGGGAGGCTGAAAACAGGAGGATCACCACGAGTCTGAGCTGCATAGTGAGACCCTGTAAAAAAAAAAATTAAAATTAAATTAAAAATTTTAAAGTGGTGGAACTGATTGGATATTTGGTGGTGTTTAGAAATTATCAAATAATTATTAATACCGTAATGACATTGTGATCTTCATACATATATATACGTATATACATACATATATATATATTTTTTTGGGGGGGTGGGGTGGGGTGGGGTGGGTGTACCAGGAATCAAACTCGACCTCACACTTGCCAGGCAAGCACTGCTGAGCTACATCCCAGCCCTTATGTATCACTTTTTAAAGAAAAATTTAATTATCCTACCTTACAAATTGAAATAGTTCCCCAAGGCATGGTGTGATCATTGTGCTTCAGAATAATCCAGTGGAGGGCTGGGAGGTAGCTCAGCCGCACATTGCCTGCTCAGCAAGCACAAGGCCCTGAGTTGAATTTCCTGTACCAAAAAAGCAAAACACACAGACGGAGTAATCCAGTGGAGGGGTGAGCTGGGCCTGAGATGCAAGCAGATGGAATTGAGTTGAAGCTGACAGATAGATGCATGGATACTGCCTTAGGAATATTTAAAAATAATTTTTAGCTGGATATTGTGGTACATGCCTATAATCCCCTTGGGAGGCTGAGGCAGGAGGATCCATGTGAATTCAAGGGCAACTTGAACTACAGAGTGAAAAAAGGGGGGGGGGTGCCAGGGATTTAGCTAATTTTAGTGGCACAGAAACTGCCTGTCAAATATGAGGTCCTGAGTTCAATTTCCGGTTACCCCCCAACCTGAATTTTTTTTTTTTTAAATAAGTGGAAGGAAAAGTGGATGAAGAATCTAGTACAATAGGAAAATGTTGAAAGAAGAATGAAAACAAGCAAGTGGGCATTGTGGCATATATCACAGCCTCTGGGAGGCTGAGGCAGGAGGATTATATGTTCAAGCTTAGCCAGCCTGAGCAACTCAAAGGACTGAGAGAGACCATCTCAAACTAAAAAAAATAAAAGAAAGCGCAGGGAATGTAGCTGAGTGTGAAGGCCCTGAGCTCAGTCCCCAGTGCTGCAAATCAAGTCACACCAACCCCCAAACCAGCCAGCCAGAGGAAACCAGGAAGAAGGCCAGCCTGCGCTGACCGATCCTCTGTCTGGGGTGGGGGTCCACTCCTGGGGCAGTGTGTGACGCACCCCTGAGCTGATCCTTCCCCCAACAGTGCGCAAGACCGTGGTCAGGATCCCCACTACGCTGGAGGTCGATGTTCAGGATGTCACAGCCTCCTCTCAACACGTCCACTTCATCAAACCGCTGCTGCTGAGCGAGGTCCTGGCCCGGAGGGGCCCCTTCCCCCAGTCTGTGGAGATCCTGGAGGTCCCGGATGGGCCCCCCATCTTCCTCAGCCCGTGGGTGAGCTCCCTGCGGAAGGGCCAGAGGCTCTGCATCTACGGGCTGGCTTCGCCCCCCTGGCGGGTCCTGGCCTCCAGCAAGGGCCGGAAGGTGCCCCGCCACTTCATGGTGTCCGGGGCCTACCAGGGCAAGCTGCGGCGGCGGCCCCGGGAGTTCCCCACGGCCTATGACCTCCTGGGTGCCCTGCAGCCAGGCCAGCACCTCCGGGTGGTGGTGACAAAGGACTGTGAGGAGGGCGACGAGCACCCTGAGTTAGCCTCCCTGGCCGTGGGCGACCGGCTGGAGGTGTTGGGGCCCGGCCAGGTCCTGGGGACCCAAGGCCAGGACATAGACGTGCTGATATGCGTGCGGCTGAGCGAGGAGGCCAGAGAGGAGGAGGAGGAGCGCGAAGAGGCCGAGGAGGACCAGGAGCAGGTTCTGCTGCCCCTCTACCTGCCTTGCGGTCTGGTGGAGGAGGTGAACGACAGCCGGCGCTATAGCCTGGCAGAGCTGACTGCCCAGTTGTCACTGCCCTGTGAGGTCAAGGTGGTGGCCAAGGACGTTGGCCACCCTGCTGACCCTCTGACTTCCTTCCTGGGCCTGCGGCTGGAAGAGAAGATCACAGAACCCTTCTTGGTAGTTGGCCTGGACTCCCAGCCCGGCACCTTCTTCGAGATCCCACCCCGGTGGCTGGATCTGACTGTGGTGGAGGCTGAAGGGCTATGGGACCAGCCGGCAGCGCAGCTCCCCGTGGCCACTGTGGAGGAGCTGTCCGAGACCTTCTACTACAGCCTCCGGAGGTCCCCAGCCAGCGAGAGCCAGGCCCCCCCACCCAGACCCCCGAAAGGCCAGGGCCTGGGGGGGCAGAAGAAACAAAGCTGCAAGGAGGGCAACGCTAAGGTACTGGCCAAAGGAAATGGGCAGGGCAGGCCGCCTGTCGGGCTCCTCATCTGTTGCGTTTCTCATAATTGTGTAGAACTTGCAGTCTAGTAGGTTCCTCTTTGCACCATTCATTTTCATTCTGTCCCGAGTTGGTGTGATTATCCTTTTGTGTGATCGAGAAGGTGAGGACTAAGAAGAGCCTGAGAATCCCCCGAGGTCCCACGCGAGAGGCCCGAACTTGAGAGTAAACAGCCCGCACTCCATCCCAGATTCCAAGTGCGCAGAGCTTTTCCTTTCTCTGCTGCCCTGCTTTCACCAGAGTTCCTCCTTTGGGGCAGGGGCAGGGACTGGGGATTGAACCCAGGGCCTTCTCGCTAAACTACATCCCCAGCCCCTGCCCCATTCAGTAGGATCTCACTAAGTTGTCCAGGCTGGACTTGAACTTAAGATCCTCCTGCTTCAGCCTCTTAGAGTGCCAGGATCACAGGCGTGCATGTACCACTGAGCTGAGCCTCCGCATTTTTCACCTATACCGTCTCAGTCAGCTCTTCCCCGCAGCTGTCAGAATGGCCCCTCAAATCCTTCCCTGGTCACTGCTAGGCCATGGCTCCAGAAGCTGAAGCCTTCAGTGGCTCCACGTTGCCTCAGAGTCCTGCAAGAGCTGGCTCCAGCCTGGCCTTCCAGGGGCACCTCCTGCGACCCACTCAGTCCCCGCTCCAGCCACACAGGAACTCCTGAAGGTTCCCCAGGGCCTCAGGACGCCTGCCTGGCCCCTTGCTCCTGCCAGCCCTGCAAAGCTGTCTTCCAGTGGTTCCCCCCAGTGTGCTGTCCCTGTTCTGACAAGGAAGAGTGGGATGGGCAGACTGGCAGAGGCTCCTTCTCCTCCCAGGCCCATGAGCTCCACCAAGCTGACCCAAAAGGAACCACTGATGTAGGGAAAGAGCCCAGCAGGGAGTCAGAAAGAGCAGGTTTGCCTTCTATTCCAGTCTGCCGCCTGTATGTCCTGAGGCGACCTAACTAATGCACTGCTGTCTGCTGCTTCTTATCAGGTGCTTCCTCAGAAGCAGGCGCCTGGTGTGCGTGGGCCTGGCGACTGGAGAGGCGCACTCAAGGTAGGCAGCAGGCACCTCTTTCTTCAGTTCAAGAAATGGGCAGAGAGAGGCAAAGTTCACCTGTACTCACACAGCCAGAAGAGGCAGGGCTGGGCCTTCAAATCTGACCACAGAGTCTATTCCAGTGAGAATGACTGTGCTGTAGAAAAGATTCCTAAATTGTCACAGGCATGCTATTTGGTGACCTTGGGAGACATATTTAATACCATGTAGGTAGCAAAGTGGGAGTGAATGAAAAGTATCCTGAGCTCCTATCTGTGGAATGGAGAAGGGATGGTCATTTTCTGACAGGCTGGGGCCCTGAAACAGGCCTGTGACAGTGCTAGAAAGAACTGTGACCATGCAGCTCAATGAACAGAGAGTCCTTAGCCCAGCCCTGGCTTCAGATGGAGTGACTCCGGCCCAGTCCTTTCCACCTTCCTGGGTAGCACTTTCCTCTCTGGGCGTACAGTTCTCCATGCTTACCAGCACAGTAGCCCCTTTGCTTCCTAAAGTGTGGTGTGCTGGGAACAGCTGGCCTCCGAGGTCACAAATGTGGCTCTGGGCCCAAATCTTGGCCAGGTTGTAGCTTCCCCCAGGTGGCAATGGGTGTATGTGTGAAAGGCACATTTTTTTATCCAAAGTTGGAACCAAAAGCACTGCTCAGAGCGTCCCTTGAGGATTAAGTGAACAAACAGGCATGGCATGTGGTAGGAGTTCCAGCAAAATTTTCTTCCTCCTGGGAGCCCTGGCTCTCTATTTGGGAGCTTTGTCACTCTTTCTTTCTTTCTTCTTTCTTTTTTAACTCATGTGTGTGTGGTTTTATGTTTTTTGAGATAGGGCCTTGCTCTAATTTAGGATGGCATTGAACTCACTGTGTAACCTTGCCTGGCCTTAAAACTCATGGCAACTACTTTCTTTACTTTGATTTTGTTGTTTTTGCGACAGGCTCTCCCTGTGTAGTTCAGCCTAGCCTTGTACTCCTTATGTACCTAAGGCTAGTCTCAAACTCACAGCAATCCTCCCAGCTCAGCCTCCCTGGTGCTGAGATTACAGGCGAGTGCCACCGCACCCTGCTGGGACTGCTTTCTTGAGGTGTCTCCTCTTTTGTTCTTTCCCCACTTCAGCCACAGATTTAAAGGAAATTCATAGGGCCCCGAATGGAGACGCCCTCTCTCCAGCCCCCAGCTGTAGCCTTATTCCCCACCCTGACCTCTTTCTGTTCTGCCAAGGAGTATTTCATATACTTGCAGCAAAACCTCTCAGGGCCCCAAGAATCCCTGCCTGGAAAGGTTGAAGGGAAGCTGAGGAAGTGACTATAGGCAAATGATGCTTCGTGGATGCTGCTGCCATTTCTTGGGACCTTGTTGAATTTTTCTTTCTCTCCCAAAGTCTTCTCAAGTCTTAGAACTGCAGAAGTCCCCTCTGCCACCCATACCCAAGGAAAAGACATTGCCAGATGCCTCCAAGAACGTATACAAAAAGATTTCTTTAAAGATGGGCCTCAGGGCCATCAAGGCTCAAACACAGGACCCAGGTGAGTCTCATTGGGCCTGTCCCCCTCCTTGCTTCTTTTCTCCCCACCCCATCCCTGCTGGTCCCTTTGCCTCTGATGGCCCTGCCTGAGACTCTTCTGTGGTCTCAGTTTGAGGGACAAGGCTGAATGGGCCAGGTTGGATAGAAAGGGCTCTAGCCTCTGTCCCCGGGCTCTAGAGCAAAGAACTGAGTTCATTCTCCATGTCCCACCCTCTCCATGGCATCCAGGCCTTTAAAGGGTTGAGGAGAGAACACATTGTGCCTTCTGGGTTAGCAAGGACTGCAAGGGATCCAGGCCCACTCCTTCCCTGTTACGGCTGAGGAAGGTAGGGGGAAGGAACTTGCCTGATGCCGAAGAGCCTCGCAGACTGGACTTTTTCTCTTTTTGCAGTGCTAAGGGTTGAACCCAGGGGCTCCCCCATGGCAGAGAGGCACCATGCCCCTGCCCGTGAGCCCAGGGGCTCCCCCATGGCAGAGAGGCACCATGCCCCTGCCCGTGAGCCCAATCCCTGGCCAGGCCTGGGCCTTTATGAAGATATGGATGATCACGACTATGAAGAAGTAGTAGAGCATTTTCGGAAAACCATCTAGGCGCTGGAGGAGCCACACTTCCCACTGCTGCTTCTCCAGATCCGGGATACCAGCAGCTCTTGCAAGCCTGGGGTCAATCTCACAGAAATCACTCAGATGGAGAAAGGAACTAAAATGGGGCGGACATGGTACCAGCTTCCTGTGGGTTTGAGGTTCCCACTTCTGCTGGGGGGCTGATATGTTGGGGCCCAGCATCTTGCACAGGACTGTCTGAGCCTCAGAGCTCCCCACCGCTGTCCCAGTGGTGGACACAGAGAAGGCCAAGAGGCACCAACCCCAGTGCCGGCCACATTTTGGTCAAGATTTGGTCCTGATCACACCGAGCTCAGAGCCCTCCATGTTTGCCACCCACTCTGGCCTCCGTCCTGCTCGTGTCTTCCTGGCTCTAACTCCTAGGAGACCTGGGCTGTTTCCTCATTCTCATCTTGGTAGCACTCAGCACATGACCAGCACTTGGTAAATGGGACTTGTACAAATGAATGGGGAAACTGACTTCAGGAACAGATTGTTAGAGTCTTGTGCCTCAAAAGCCAGTGCTGGAACGCAGGGAGCCAATTTACAGAGAGCCGTATGGAGCCCAAAGCTGCAGAGACGGGCAGGATTCCTTGGGTGGTGCTGAGGTATTGGTAACACTGAGGGACTACCCAAGAGGGTTTTTTTGTTTTAAAAAACCCAAAACAAAACAAAAAAAAACCACCAAAAAACAGTGGAATAAAGATGATGTCTGAACTTCTGTCTGAATGATATCATTGAAGATCCGCCTATGTGCTAGATAGACCCTTTATTTTTTAAAATTTGTGTGTGTGTGTGTGTGTGTGTGGCCAGCTCAGCCCACCAGGGAGCGGGGCTGGCTGGCATGTGGCGCTGGGGGATTGAACTGCGGTTCCTGTGCTTTGCTAAGCTTGTTCTAAGTAGGTGCTTTAGACCACTGAGCCATCTCACCAGCCCCAATAGACCCTTTATAAGCCATATGCAAACCCTTAACTTTTGGAGGCAACAACAGCCTGACTTTAAGGATTAGGAAGCATCCAGTGGTGCGGAGGCAGATTAGTGCAGTGGTTAAGGGGGACTCTGAAAGTCAGAGTCTGGTTTAGGGGTTAGCATCCCCCTTACCTCTAGTCATATGTAACTAGGGGCACCTTAACTTCTCCAAGCTTCACTTGTGTGAGACAGGAGTAGTGGCCAGGAGTGGTGGCACATGCCTGTCATTCCAGCTACTTGGGAAACTGGGGCAGGAGGATCACAAACTCAAGGCCTGCTTGTCTCAAAATAAAAAAGACTAGGGAGGCAGCTCAGTGGAGAATGCCTCCTCTCTTGATCCCCAGTGTAGCAAACACAGTTACCTACCTGACAAGACTCTTTTCGGGTCAGCTGACCTCTTTGTAAGGCACATAATAGCATCTGCACATGGTCAACATGGTAGTATTGCTGTGGCTGGCCAAGGTCATGCAGCTGTGTCTGTCTCCAGAGATTATGGTCTTGCCACAGCCGCGCACCATCCCCAAGTCCTGGGGCTTGTCCTGTGCCTCGACTGTGGACACAGTGCACTGACTGGTTGGAGAACCCCGCTGTCCAGGGCAGCAGAAAAGGGAACAGATGCGAACCTTCATCCCTGTAGCCATGAACTCAAGCTTCCAAGGTCAGTCTAGACCTATTCAGCAAGGCTGCTGTTTCCTGAAAGTGCTGGGACTTCCAGGTCAGCAGTGAAGGCAGAAGAGAGACAAAAAGATGATCTGAACCTCCAGGTGAGCTGACAGCTGAAAGAATTCAGCTTTCCAGCTCCTGGATTCCAGGTACTGTGCCTGTGTGCGGCCCGGCCCCTCTGCCTACTGCCCTTGGCCCCTGTGCTTCCCAGGGCTCCAGGCGTCTGCACCCCCACATGGAGCTCTCCACGGGACTCCTAGCTGGTCTGCTGCTCCCACATCTGACCCAAGGTCCCAAGTCCTCTTCTAGGGAGAACTCTAAGGAAGATAATACCATGGAGAGAAGCAGTGAGAACAAGGACGGAAAGTTTCCCCTTTTTTTTTTTTTTTTTTGGCAGAACCAGGGATTGAATTCAGGCCCTTGTGCTTGCCAGGGAAGCACTAATTCCATTGAGCTATCTCCCCAGCCCTGGAAAGTTCCTCTTTGGCATGGAAGCCCCCATGCCTACATGCAAAATGTGTTTTCAGTTCCACACTTGCATTCAGTTTCTGCATAATGTTGAGCAATTCATAAAGAACAAAAGGAGGGCAGAGGGCCTGCAACACGGGCTAAGTAACCAAATGCTGCAGTGGGAAGAGCAGTTTCTGGGTGGCAAAAGCTTGAAAGGAAAGCCACAGTGATGACTTTCTTATCAGAGCACAGGGGTTGGTGGCAAGCCAACCAGATACTACCCTCAGGGTGCTTTTCTTCACACCTGGAATAAGGGCAGGGGTGTTGGGGAGGAGCACACCTCTGGTACTACACAGGATGGTTCACTGGGAACAGAGAATACAGATTACTTCTTCTCTCCATGTTCATGTCCTTTTTTTTTTTTTGCGGAACTGGGAATTGAACTCAGATCCTTGAGCTTGCCTCGGAAGCACTTATTCTACTGAGCCATCTCCCAGGCCTGCGAGCCATCTCCCTGGCCCCATGTTCACTTTTAATATATTTTCACTTCTTTAACGTTTTCTCATGTGACATAATAGAACACCATGTATGAATAGTGGCTGAACAAGCCAGGTATGGTGACATATGCCAGCACTTATGAGGCTGAGGCAGGAGGATTGCTGGGAGCTGGAAGCCAGCCTGATCTACATGAGACTGTCTCAAAATAAAAAGACTCTGAACAAGTGAGTGTAAGTCAAGGATATGTTATGATTTGTATCTAAACATCCCCCAAAGCTTCATGCAAGAACAGGTGGAACTTTTAGGAGGTAACCGCCTCAGGAGTGTGTGATACTGGGTCAGTCCAAGGTTTAGAGCTGGGTGCGCTGTTGGGAGGGGAAGCCTGGGGGAAGAAGAGGGTGGCTGTGAGTATGGCCTGGAAGGATACTGAGTTTTACTCTCCCTTCCATCCTGCTCTGCTTCTCGCCTGTTCCGCCTTTAGCTTGTGGGTGTTGGGTATTTTTTCTGAGCATCAACACAGTAACCAAGACAGGATGCTTACTCAAAACTTTATGAGTTTCATTTCCCCCAATTGCATTATCTTTCCTCTTTCCTTTTCTCCTTTTCCTCCTCCCCCTCTGCCCGCCTCCCTGCTTCTCTTTCTTCTTCTTACCGGGAATCAAACTCAGGACCTTACACTCACCAAGCCGGTATATGTGCTGCTGAACTACATTCCTGGCTTCTTTTTTTTTCCCCTTCACCTGTAAAATCAATTCATATTTTTCTTTTTCTTTTTTTTTTGATACTCAGGACTGAGCCCAGGGCCTCTGCCCTAGCTACCCCTGTGGGGGAGTGACTGAAGCTAGAGATTGACCCCATGGTCACAAGTGCCTGAGGGGCTGGAGCCAGCCAGTCCCCAGGTCACAGACACCTGAGGCCAGTCATGCCAACAGCTCCAAGAACCACATGCCAGGCATGGCACCTGAGGCCACCATGCAGCCAGGTTGCTAGGCAGCTGGGTCAGGTGATTTCAACCTGCTGAATGTATAAACACACTACAGTGGCCAAGCAGTTCTTTTCTTCCCATCAGGACAAAGGACTCCACCTGGTCCCAGCTTTCTGTGTTTTGACTCTATTTCTCCATCCTCCCACCATCCTGCCCACCAGGCACCACCCCGGAGACAAGGGATTACAACTGCCCCAACTGCATGTAAAGAAATGTACTAATTCACATTGAACCCCAATTCCTCCTGGCCTCCCTCTGCCTAATAAAGTACTATTTCTTTTTTTTGGTGGAACCGGGGATTGAACTCAGGCCCTTGCGCTTGCCAGGGAAATGCTTATTCCACTGAGCCATCTCCCCGGCCCTAAAGTACTATTTCTTTTTTTTTTTTTTTTTTGCGGAACCGGGGATTGAACTCAGATCCTTGAGATTGCCAATCAAGCAGTTATTCTACTGAGCCATTTCCCCGGCCCAAAAGTACTATTTCTTAAGGAGCTGAAGTTTTACCTCAGAGTTCTCCTGTAGACTGGGCCATGGCTTTGTTGTGCTGGGGAGTTTCTAAGGACTGGGTTATACTCTTATTTTTTATTTTTATTTTTTGGTTATACTATTTCTGGTGGCTCAACAGAAAACCATAACCTGAACATAGTCACGTGACCAAATGCCCCCGGGGTAAGCTCTTCCATCTGCATGTGGCAGCTCTGTGAAGGTCTGGCTCAGTGGTCTGGCTGGCTGTCCTGCCTGTGCTCACCACCACAGAGCCCCTCCACACCAGGAAGTCACGCAACTCCTGACTGAACGTGTGGCCAACGTGTGGCTGCTCTGTGCACTAGCAACTCTTGTGACTCCAGTGTTTTTGTTTTGTCCTTAGTACCTGACCCATGGGCTGACAGTTGATAATCCATACACTTACTGAATTAACAAGTCTTATTTTTGTAGTAGGGGGGACCAAAACCTGAGCCTCACATGTCAGGCAACTGCTCTACTGATGGGTGGTCTCAAACTTTTTGTGGTACTGGGGATTGAACTCAGGACCCTGCGATTGCCAGGCAGGCCCTTATTCTACTGAGCTATCTCCCCAGCCTCAAACTTTCAACTCTCACACCTTTACTTCCTAAATTGCTGTGAACAGTCCTGGCAGGTAATTTTTAAATCACTAGATCATCATACAACTTTTATGAAGACTTGTACCCAGAAACATTGCTACAGCTCTACCCATCTGAAGTCACTAGCTTGGTATCTAAAAAGAGAAATCTGCCATCCATAAAAGTAAGGTAGTCTCATTAAAAATTCAACTATTTTTTTAAGCTGTTCTAAATAACTATTTTCTCCTCTTTGTCCAGGAGTGGGTACATTTATAAATAACATCCTGGTTGGCAGAGCTCTGGCAGGTCGCCAGTTGTGGTAGTGCACAGCTGTAATTGCAGCACTTAAAGGAGGCTGAGGAAGAATGCCACAAATTTGTGACCAGCCTGCATGACATAGTAAGTTCAAGGCCATCATGAACAAAAACACCTGGATTACATGAGACATTGCCTCAAAAAAGCCCCCCAAGTTACTCTGCGTGTAAAGAAAAGCACGTTCAAGGAGAAATTGGGGGGGTGGAATAGGGAGAAAAACACAAAAAGAAAAAAACTGAGGGGGAGGGTGGGACAGAGGCTTCCCTTAATAGTTGCCAGATCTTATTTAGAAACAGTTGAAGCAGATATAGTTCTTATTTGCATGACATACCTCACTAGCTTGATCTCAAAATCTCTTACTCAAGATGTAGCTTATGTTCTGGGGTTGTCAGAACATCTTCAAATCACACATGGTAGTACATGCCTGTAACCCCAGCACTCAGGAGGCTGAGAAAAGATTGTACAGTTCAAGGTCAGCCTGTGCTACACAGTGAGTTCAAGGCATGGCTATAAGAACCTGCCACAAAAACATCAACAATAAAAAAACACCAAAGAAAAAATAAAAGGAAAAAAAACCCTGTATTAAAACCATCTTTGGGATTGGGGATATTGTTCAGCAGCACAAGTGCCTGTCTGGCAAGTACAAGGCTGTGAGTTTGATTCCTGTTTCCAAAAAAACAACAAAAAACCCATCTTTGAACTATGGTCTCCCACAAGAGAGCTGATCAAGTTGACCAGAAACAGCCACAAGCCTCTGGAAAGTCACACCTAAGACCAAAGCCTGCGGGTCAGCTGAGCACACTGCTAGCCAACCCTCAGGCCCAACGTCCAGTCCCCACAGTGGTAATGCCACCCGCTTACAGAGCTTGTCAATCTTCACAACAAACCTTGAGAAAATGGGTTTTGCGTGGGGGGTGGAAGCCCTCAGAGCTGACACAGCCTGCTCAAATCCAAGTTTTACTGGGCCCCACTGCCTTCGAGGATAAAGTAGCAATCAGACGACCAGTTTAGAAAGAAAGAGCATTTTCGCATGTTACTACAATAAAACAAATGTTTTATTAAAATATGGATTATTTATTTTGTACAAAACACAGTAACACTTCTTCCCTCCTGCCCCGTGAGGCCAGCATCCCACAGACTCACATTCACATAATCCTGCTTTCCGCGATAGGCAAGACAAGGAGAAAGAGAGAAGCACAGTTCTGAAAGTTATACCACAGAACCAGAGCGGGACACAAAACCAGGCAGAGGCAGTGGGGCCCTTGGTTGGCACTGTGCCCACAAACCATAGTCCTGCTTATCTCTTCTCAACAGGAAGCATTTTTTTTTTTTTAAAGAACAGAAGTTTCGGAGTGCTACGGCCCAACTCTTGGGGTAGCAGCTTTCTTCCAGTCTCATCTAGCCGGATGTCCTAAGAGGTCACCTGGAACTTCTCTAAGAAATTCCACCCTGGTTTACATCTCTGTCAATTTGCTCATCTTCCTTTCAGCTTCAAAACACACACACACACACACACAAAACCCAGAAGAGCAGTGCGTTGCAAAGGGATGTCAACTAAGGTCTGTTCTGGAGGGAAATTCCTTCTTAGAAGTCACCTGGCCAATCATGCACAGCAGAAGCCACGGACTGTGCAGACAGGTCCAGCCGGAAACACTTCAGGTACCGAGACTGTTACTCCGCATCTGTCGATTTAAAGTGGTCATCATCCACTGTAGAATAGATATGGCCCTCGTTGCTAAGAAAATCCACGGCTTGCCTAGAAAGGCAGGGGAAAAAAAAAGGTTATTTTTTGTTTTATTTTTACTGTGCAGCTCAAGGCTAGCCTCAGACTCGCAGTGATTCTCCTAGCTCAGCCTCCAAATGCCAGCATGCTCTGCTAAAAGGCTCATTTTCTTTCTTTTTAAAACTTTTTTAAAATTCATTTAAATGAGAAAAAGACAAAATAGCAATAAAACAATTTCAAAATAGGTTAGTAGGACAGTTACAATACACTGCATATTGTCTCTGTAGTAGTTATTCAGAGGACAAGATGCAGACATGGTATCTTGTCTAAACAGTATTAGTACAAACCTTTCTTCTCAATGAACTAAGAGAAAGTATATATCTATACTATCTTGTGTATACACATATATTTTTTCCACAACAAAACAGTATTTTATTTATAACTTTTGAAAAGTTAGTAACATGTGACACAAGGTTTCCTAGTGACTGAGAGCTGACTTTAACCAGACAGGGTGTCTGTCTCAGGACTGAGGTATAAAAGGTTCATTTTCTTTCTTTTTTTTATTTTTGTTTTTGGCGGAACCGGGGATTGAACTCAGGCCCTTGCACTTGCCAGGGAAGCACTTATTCCACTGAGCCATCTCACTGGCCCCAAAAGGCTCATTTTCAAGCAGTGCAGAAGAAAGGAATGAAACTGCCTTTTTTTTTTTTTTTTGGTGGAACTGGGGATTGAACTCAGGCCCTTGTGCTTATTCTATTGAGCCATCTCCCCGGCCCCGAAACTGCCTTTTGGATATGGCCAAAGAAGCAAACTTCACTTCTGTGCCTTTTATCTTAGCTAAGAACTCATGGCCGTTTTGCTCATACAGGGCTTTCGCAGGGAGAGGCTTGCCAGTGCAACTGCCAAGCTGAGGTCATCCATGCAGACAGCGGGCTGCTGTGATCTCTCCCAAATCTGACTCTTGGGTAAAGGCAAGAAAATAGCCTCACCTAAATAACCAGCCTCAGCAAAGCGGAACAGGAGCCTAAAGCTGTGGGCCAGCTTGCACACGACATCTCAGGACCCAGCTATCTGTAAGTCCTCCCTTCCCACCTACACACAAAGGCCTCTGCTCTACCCCTGGGCAGTTAGGTTTCAGGAAGTAAAGGAATTTCAGAAGCAGTATGACAGTACAGCAATTAACCACTAGGAAGAATGCATGCAATGTGTTAACTATTGAAACTGTCCTACCAATTTGGTTTGAAACTGTTTCATTGCTATTTGTTTCTCAATAAGATTATGAAAAGAAAAAAAAAAAAAAAAGCAGTACAACACCTTCAAATTCTTCCTCCGGGCAGTGCCCGCAGCATGTTTAATGATAGCCAATTTTCTACTACATGATGGCAGTCCTGCACCTTAGCATCACAGTAACTCTGAGACAGAATTTATTATCCTTCTTTTATAGGACGGGAACTGGAAACATTTGAGCGTTTCTTTTGTACCTAGATCTGGAATATCAACTGATTTACAGTAACAACTATCATAAGCAGCATCTTTCTCAGTTTGCTTAATTCCACTAGAATAGAATCAGGCCAAGGGTGTCAGTCTGGCCTAATGGCTGTAGGTGCAGAAAGCCTGACGCATTTCTATCTATGGTGGAGACAGCAACACTACACACATACAAGGGCCGGGAGCTGGGGGCACACCCCTCCAGACCAGAGCCCGGAGGTGAGGGCAATTTTAGTTGAGCATCACACCTTCCACACACAATGGGCCTGAGTATGTGTGGAATGAGCAAATGATGAAGGATGTAATGTGTAGCACCATCTTTGAGAGTCCTTTCAAATGTTTTTTTTTTTTTTTTTTCTTTTTGCAGAACCGGGGATTGAACTCAGGCCCTTGTGCTTGCCAGGGAAGCGCCTATTCCACTGAGCCATCTCCCCAGCCCCCTTTTAAATGTTTCTGCACAACTTTCCTTCTGTCAACAGTTACATCTTTAGTTTTGCACTTAATTCTCAGTATCAGAAAGCCCCAGAGAAGTGGACTGGCAGGTCCAACTGTGCAGACTCAGCTCATGGAAAGGAAAACTTACTTGATCGTGGCTATAGGCATGTGGTGCAGCTGGTTTTTGAGATCCTGAAAGTTCAATCCTTCAGGCCTTGGACAAGCCTTAATCAAATTCAGCACCTGACAATTCAAAGTAGAAAGTATGTAGCAATGACTCTGCATCAGTTCCTATTTGCAAATCTGAGTCCCTTTATGAGAAAAAAGGGGCCAGGTGCTAAAGTCATCTTAGATCATTAAAGAAGTAACAAAAATTAGGACAGTCTGTCTTTTGCAAGAAGGAGTCTCTCAGTTTACCTGGTTTTGGGTCACGGTGAGGCCATTGGCTGGCATCAGGCTGTTCCCACCGAAGTTTCCCATTTCACCCATTCCTGGATTGCTGATAGATGCTCTCCCTGTTGAGGGCTGAATTAAGAAATAAGTTCATAACAGTATAAAATTTACAAAGTTATATATGGTGTAGGCTGACTTTTGCTATTTCAAATAACGTACTACTAATAAGCAGCAGAGAAAAAAATATCTCTCTCCTCTCTTGTTGCTTTTGCTGTTTTTTTCTGCTGCCACGAACTGCTGCCACTCTGCCTTGGAGCCAGCTAATGATGGACTGAAACCCTATAAACTGTCAGCTAAATATCCACCCCTACCCCTCAAAAAAACCCTAAAACAGCTAAGAGGTTAAGCGAAGAGTTTTCCCATTATGACCACCTACATGGCAGGGGACAGCAGAATTTCACAGTAAGGTGAAGTAACCCTGTAGGTACATAATGACAAAAAGAGGAAGAGCCTTCCCGCTGCCCTGCACGTCGCCCTTACGGCCTAGCCAGTACTGCCCCACCTGCTCCCAAGTCCAGCCGCTAAGGCTGATCCCCGTGTGAGGCAGATCACGATTACGACCAGAGTGATGAAGCAATTAGTCAAAGAAAAAGTGACGATTGAGAAAGAAGCAAAACAACAAGAAGACTGAGAAAATGAAAGATGAAGATGGTGAAAATATGCCATTAAAAAGCAGGAAGAAATCCTGCCAGAGTCCTGGATGATAATCCCAGGTTGCCAGCACAGGAGACAGGTAGCATATACTGACCTGTAGCAGACATTAGAAAGTGAGAAGGATTTGGAAGAAGCTGAGGAATATAAAACATGTATAGTTTTGGACTCAGTGCAGTTAGAAGCCTCACGTTACTCTGTACAGAGTGTTTTTGCATTAAGTCCTGGGGTCCACTCTACAGGTTTTTTTTTTTTTTTTTCCACTGCTGGGTGTCTGAGTAGTATGAGAATGGGATTCTTACCATGCAGTTGCAAATATTTTTCTTTGCATAACTTAATGTTGTCAAATAAATGAGTTC